AAAAAGTGCAATGCACGTAATTCACTACTTTGTTATCTTACTATATTATCCTTAACCCTCTTATTCTCCAGTTGCTCTACCACAATTAGTTTCCTAACCTCTCTAGTCCCCACTGAATCATCTGAGCTTTGTCCCATATGCTCTGTGCTGTCCACCTTACTTCCGATTCCCCTCCATACTCCAGCCATATAACCCATATGACTGGTAGGCAAACAAAAGGGTGACTGTTCTGTGGATAATCCAGGGCTGTGTACATACCAACTTGTTAACTGCACAGTGTCAAGCAAAATGAAGAGTAGTAACAGCCTCGTTTTCTCTGCTTATCAAGGCAGTTGTTAGGATTTACTTTCATTTATCTAGACATTGTTCTTCACAAAAACTCATAGGAACTTCATACTTTTGAGACTGTAGATCTTTTGTCAAATTTTGTTGAAATCAACCAGAGTTCACCTATTAAGAGGAATGGCTAGGGGAGAAAAAGGAAGATTACAGAGCAGTCAAGTAGCTCTCTGTTTTCTTGCAGAAATATAAAAACTGTTCAAAATTTTACATTTTTTCATGACATTCAACTAATGGCCTAAAGGCTTTCAGCTATAACCTTGGAGAGCACAGTAGAAAAATCTTCTTAAAGACCAAAGGGTCCATATTGCTGGCAGTATAAAGAAACTAAAAAAAAAAAAAAAGGGAGAATGTTGTTAATAAATAAAAGCACTTTCCGTTTCTTAATTTCACTGTAAGTATAAAAGTAGATGAAACAGTTCAAGACTCAGGAAATTAAGCTTTGGAAAGAAACATCAGCAACCACAAAGCACCAGAGGACATGAAGGTCCAGTATTATCATGCTACCCATTTGGGGATTTGAGCTACTACTTAACACAAAAGGTTCATGAATTTCTATGCTAATTAGTAATGCATGGGTATGTGAACAATGGATTAAGGAAGCATAGATGTTGCTGCATGTTCCCACTTGATATTTTAGAGGTTGGTACTATGTTTTTTTAAATATGAACACATTTCAAATGTGATCTCAGTCGTCAAAGATGAGAGCTGCTTAGTAGCCATTGAATAAAGCAAAATATGATAGTTTACATCTGATATATTTCTTAGCCACGACAAGATTTCTGTGGCACGAAAAACTCATTGCCAGTTAGAGTTAACAGAATTTAAATGTGCTAGCAAGAATGATATTCTGTTTTTAAATGGTTCTTATAAGTTTTGCTTTTCTGTGATAGTGGTTATAGCTTTTTAGTAATATATCTAACTTCTTGAGTAAGTTTTGCTGTATTACCTATTTTATTTCACTTTTTCATGTAAGGATACTTTCTTCTGAGATCTCCCAATGGGTTGTGATTCAAATGTAACTTTCTAAAGTAGGATCCTGATATATTAAACTGTATTGACATGTCAACAATAGACTAGAATTTAACAAGTGTGTAGTGTAGATTAAAAAAAAATATTGAACTTCATTAGAAGAGTTGATACATGTAATCATTATCTGAATATCATATTAATTGGTCAATATACAAAAGTACATTCATGCTCATCTAAAATAGGAACAGAAAATTCTGACTTTAAATTACTCTGTTTCTTTGTCCTGGTTTCAGCTGTAACAGTTACTTTTTCTCCTTTTTAGTAGCTGGTGCAGTCCTGTGTTTTGGTTTCAGTCTGAGAACACTGATAACACACCAATGTTTCCAGCTGCTGCTACATAATGTTTACTCTGATCAAGGACTTTCAGTCTCATGCTCTGCCAGCCAGGAGAGGCACTGGAAGCTGGGAGGAAGCAGAGACAGGACACTTGACCCAAACTAGCCAAATGGGTGTTCCACACCTCAGCACGTCATGCCCACTATATAAACTGGGGGAGTAACCTGGAAGGCCCAGATTGCTGCTCCAGTCAGGCTAGGCATTGGTCAGCGGGTGGTGAGCAATTTTATTGTGTACCACTGCTGTTTATTGTTTTCTTTTTATTTTCCCCCTTTTAGTTTTATATGTCTCCCCTTGTTGTTTTCCTTATCTTTATTACTGTTGGTGGTATCAGTAGCGGTTTTGGGTTATACCTTAGTTACTGGACTGTACTTATCTCAACCCTTAGGGTTTACATTCTTCAGATTCTCCTCCCCACCCCTCCGTGAGTGGGAGGAAGGCAGATGGAGGGAGTGAGAAAGCAGCTGCGTGGTTCTGAGTTACTGTCTGGGTTTAAGCCACGGCATTCTCAAAGTAAGAAAGTGCTTATTCACACAGTGTATTTTCAGCTGTTCAGTTTTGTTTTCACATGTGAGTGAGAAGTTCTGTCCTTCATTGCTTTAAATTTTCTGAAGAGTGTAAGACTTTGAAGTTTTACCTTAAAAGGATAAAAAGTACCATTGCAGTCTGCTGAATTGAAAGCATGGCTTAAAATAACATAGAACATATCTACACAGTAATGCAGAAGCAAATTCAAGCACACTGTGTTCCAACACATCAGGATTCATGGAAATACTGATTTAAAACCACTTCAGTCTCTCAGAGTTAAGGCTTAACAACTCCCACAAAAATAGGCACTAAAACATCTAGAGACCTCTGGCCCCATTAGAATGGAGCACAAGGGTGGCAGATGGACTTGACCAGGTAGAAGTACCCATAAAAAAAATGAAGCTGTGACTTTTGAATTCCATAAATATGGGGGTGTTTTGAACAGCCCAGTGCTTCAGAAAGCAGAGTGTGATTGCATCCCTGATTAATATTTTTTATTTTTGAATTATCCACATTTTGACTTAATTTCCTTAAGTACATGATTTGTATTTTTACTTTATTCCCTCAGTACTTCTCCTATAAATGAGGCAAAATTACAGAAAACATGAAGTTTTCCAATACTTAAAAAAAAAAAAAAAGCTAAAGAAAGCACACACACATCCTATTTTCTTAGTTTTCAGCTATTATTGTTGTAGAGTGGTCTAATCAGTGAAAAATGAGAGATGATGCAGTATCCAATCTGTCCAGACTGTTGGTTACATTGCAAAACAACTGCCTATAAATTCATTTCATGCAAGTAGCTAAACGTCATTTGAACAGCACACCTGATGAGGCAACAACAAAGCTGAAGACATGGTATTTGTACCTCTTCTGACTTCTGGAAACAGAGCAAAATTTAGTAGAAGTGGTTGGTGAAAAAAAAGAAAGAACAGCTAATTGGTAATTAGAAGCAGCTGACTTTTCTCTACTATCTCAGGAATATACCAGCATTGACTGTCATGTATGAAGGTAAATCAAGAGAAACTGCAGCTGTGGCTCCAGAAAGAGTAGCAAAAATATAGTTTGCTATGTTTCAGGCAGTGTGCTGCACTACAGATCTCTGAGAAAAGTTATTTCTTTGTTCTCTCCTATTAATTACTCTTCTACAATAGCAACTCAGGTTAATAGACACCAAAGTGTTATTATTTAAACATCAACATACTTTATTTACAGACAAAACAGCAATTCAATTTTATTTATTTTCATCAGCAAAGTTTTTACCAGTATATGATAGAAATACATGATTTTATTCATCATTTATGTGTTGGGTTTTTTTATAATCTTTGCATTAAAATCTTTAATTAATCTTTTATTAGTTTCAGTTCTGAATGTCTGTCTTCATTTTGAAGAGTAGATAACATTAACAATTGAAGAAGGTGGCAATAATTCTATGATTCTGGGATTCTCCAGCTTGAGGTCCATAATGCAAGCAGACAGTTTCTTGCCAACACAGCCTTTTACCTCCCCAGAAAAAAGAGTCTATTGCAAGAAAAATATTTAAGTTCTTATTCAGTTGTAAGACAAAGAGCTGACATCCACATACAAGGAGATGGTCTTAAGGAAGCTGAAAAACATAACAAAATTAGCTGTAATTAGTAACTGCATAGAGCCATAGAATAGTTTGTGTCAGAAGAAACCTTTAAATATCATCTAGTCCAACCCCCCTGCAATAAGCAGGGACATCTTCAGCTAGGTCAGGTTGCTCGGAACCACATCCACCTGGCCTTAAATGTCTCCACTTGTGTTGGGATAAAATATGAAGAGATAAGATTTGAGCACTTGGCTGGGAATATTGAAGAGTCTAAGGAAAACAGAAAAATTACCATACAGTGTCTGTGCTAACACCTGTGTTTTCTGTGATATCTTAAAAAAAAAAAAAAAAAAAAAAAAAAAAAACAAAAAACCACCACCACCAAAAAAAACAACCAAAAATCCAACAAAAAAAAAAAATCCCACCCTTATTATGTTCTCAAATCTTTTTTTGCCATGCCAGATGAAGCCAAAGGTGCCTAGGCCTTAGTTCTTTAGCTTGATCTGCTAGTTTAATATCACAAGCAAAATATCATACCTTGCTGGTCTTAACACTTACTAGCTACCGTCTTTGAAAGGCAGGTGCTAAAAGCCTAAAAAACCACAAAGCATAATCACACCTTTGAGCCATCCCCAAGGAAAAAAAAAAAAATTAAAAAAAGAGAAATGTTTATATCATTGTATATTTCAAAACATACTTTACTTTACTTTGCTGACAAATTCATGAGCCCTACTCATAACTGGCAATATGAGTTGAAACTTTTACTGGGATTGTTTATGAATCTGATAAAGAAATAATTTAAGTGTTTCATCATTTGTTTACACAGAGAGAGGTGAGGAGAAAGTGGGGGATTTCACATCCTAATTTTCAGTGAACTTTTACATTTATGTTTTTATTTGTCCATACATGAACAAGGAGTAGAAAATAAGCCTTTATAATTATCATAATAAAATGATTATATAAATTAAGTATTTTTATAACTTCTTTTTAGTTTATAATGTATTCTAGTGGAAAAAAAAAATAGGTGAAGAGCACAAATTTTTATTTTTTGTCAATTCCAACTGTGTGTGTATAAATATATATATATATAAAATAAAATTTCATATATATACTGAATGATCAGTAAAGACACAAAATATTGTATAACTGATAATTATTTTTTTTTGCAGTAACGAGAGAGAACATAATCCTTTATGTTGTGTAGGTTGTACTATGAATAGAATCAGATGAATTCTCCATGAATATATTCATATTATACTGTAAAATGTAATCATATGACAAGTGTCTAGGAAAAAGGGCTATGGAATCAAATGATCAGCAGATGATACACTTTTGAAATAGTTAGGGTACATTGCATATTTTACCACTAAGAAAAATGGAATAAATAGAAAATAAAACTCATTACTTGGTATGCATAATATTAGATCTGTATTGATAAACTTTTTTTTTCATTTAAACTTAAAAAAAATCTCATTTACACATTCATACAATATCGTGAAATATGAGTTATGGCAAAAGCAATCAGCTTAGACAGCTCATTAATCTCTCTCATACAAATATTGTGATCCCTCTATCTTTCCTCAACAATTTTTTTGTGTATGATTTAAGGATGAAAGAAATGATAACTAGTTTCCATGACAGCTTGAGATACAATGTGTTCTGCAACATGATGAACAATTAAATTGTGATTTAATTTCCCTTATTTTATGGTAATATAACATTAACAAAATAAATATGTTCTGATTGTGCTACGTAGGCGAAGCTATTTCCTGCCTTAACGCTACATTCATGTATTTGCTAAATCTAACCAGATTTCCACCAGTCTAAATAGTCTGTACTGACACAGTATTCTTTCACAGAACCTAAAATCATATCTCCACAGCCCTCATTTTGTAATGACACCCAAACTGGCTCTCATGAAGCTATATCTTTTATACCAGAAGCAATGCAGCTGCAGTGCTCCTCCCAGGTTATGTTAAAAGACTGTTAAAAACTGGCTTCAGTATTCAAGTCAGCTTGTTCAGAATTTGCTAATTTGGGTATTTCCAAGTGGCCCCACTTTGCTAAATGCTCTGATGGAAATATTTCCATTACTTCTAGCAGACTTGGACCACAGTCTGAACATAGAGTAGAAACAAATTGCGTACACATGACATCAGTTATATGTAAGCTCATTTTTATTTTGTTCTTAACGTACTGAGCACTGACAAAGTCCGTTTGTTACAATTGCAAAGATCAAGTCCTTTGTTCAACTACGAATGCTGGAAAGAGTATCTATAGTTATAAGCATTTTTTGTAGAGATGCTTCTGAGGGGTTTTTTTGGTATTTATTTTGAGATGTACTTACAGTTTTTCATCTAGAAATAATACGCAAAATGTGATGAAAGAAAAACAAATCTCTTAGTGTCTTGCCGCCTGCGCCCATTGCTTCCCTTCCTGTCACTGAGGATCACCAAAAGAAGTCTGTCTCCATTTTCTCCCTACTCTCCCATTAGGCAGTTGAGGACAGCAGTAACGTGCCCTCTTAGCCTTCCCTTCTTGAGGCCAAACAAATTTACCCAGCCTCTCACTGTACATCACATGCTTCAGCCACCATTAATCACCTTGGTGGCACTCCACTGGACTCACTGAACTAGCCACACTTTTGCTAGTACAGACAGAACATAATAGCTTTTTTCACTATAGAGCCACACTGTTGACTCCTGTGTAACTGGTCCTCCAAGATTGCTGATCTTTTAATTTTGTTTTGTATTTTTTTCATTGTTTTTTCTCCCTCTTGTTTTTTTGTTTGAGTTGGTTTTGTTTTCTTCCTAAATTGCTTTCCAGCCAGTCAACCCAATTTTCCTTTAAGATTCTGACTTATTCCATCCCAGGTACAGACATTCCTTTTTCCTTTGTTGAACTTCCAGGTGCTCCTTTCAGTTCATTTCTCCAACCTGTTGAGTTCCAGCGGTGGAACAGACCTGATCTCCAGTGTTTGTTGCTCTTCTCCAACTTGTCATCTGCAAATGTGCTGAGAGTATGCTCCACCTATTATAGAAATAAAAATGAGTCGAAATTTCTTTTAGTGATGCTGCTATGAAGAGAAGTTAGCATAAGGACATAGAAAACCAGTATAAAATATTCTATCCCAAATAGGAAAAATCATGTCTAAGAAAATGAGACATGTATTTGCATGTATTTGTAGCTTTATTAATACATAGTTACAAAAAATAATTTACAAATAATAATTTAGAATATAATTACAATATATTAATTATTTTAAATACAATAATTAGCAAAATGTTTCAGAACTGGTTTTCTTTTGAAAATAAAAAGTGGTTTTGGTAATTTATATTTCATTTTCCCCAGGAGAAGACATTGAAGGTATAACTGCTATGAAATTGGTAACTTCCTTAACTGTGACATAAAAATGATTCCTTTGTCTACTGCACCAATGATGTTGTGAACTCTAGTCTAAAGCTGTTTTACAAGTTTTTCTCAGGGCAAGTATTATAAAAACAGTCATTGAGCAATAAACACAGTGGGTGCTCTGTCCTATGATCTTTTTAGCTACAATTATCCTTAATTTCACCAGTTTGTTCCAGACGGAAAACTGTGAAAGTATTCAGTAGTTTTCAATATCTTGTAAAATACAACTGTTTTGTAAGAAAGGTCAGAACATTTTCACCCAAAGGAGTATCTGCTCATTTCAGGTGATTTTGAATTAGGATGTTAATACATTACAAAACTATAGCTTTTACCCACTCTTTTCCCAGCTCTTTTTCCTTGGGCAGTTTGGACTAAATAGCTAACATATGCCACATTGAAGGAAACAATGAGATTTAGAACTACATCTAACTAGCATGAAGATGTCATATGGAGTTTTAATATGTACGTGAAGTGAACCTATTTACATATTCAGGACTCTAAACATGATTAGTCAAACTTACTATATACTGCAATGAGTATAGATAAATATGATAATATTTGTGTATTCAGTTTTGGGCTACTGTGATTCACTAAACAGCACCAAGGATAAAATAAAGGCCTAAGTGTAGATAATTTTTAAAAATCACAAAAATCAAGTAATTTATATACAGAGGGATGGATAGAGAAGTGAATGCTAAATTTGCAACAAATCTAGACAAGCAAACACACTCTTTACAAAACAGAGTGCAGAAGTGCACAGGATTTAATTGTTTTGGCTGTTTTTAAGAGGGTTTCCTTACACAGCTCAGAAAAGAAATCATATCCTGAAGAGCTCTGCTTTTCACAAAGTTTAATGTATCCCATCTAATAGATGAAAATACAACTCATATAAGACAAATATCTTTCAAAATTATCTTTACTAAGGAAGGCCCAAGCAACTATTGCTTGTTTAAAGTCCAACAGTCCCTGAATTAGTTTGTCTGCCTCCCAAGGAGACAAAGGTTCTGCCCAAGCAAGCACATGCTCCAAAACATGAGACAACTTAAACAATAAAAGAACAAACAACCCCCAAACCAAACAAACAAAAGAGCAACAAAATAAAAAAAAAAAAAAAACAAACAAAAAACCCCCACAAAACTACAACCAAACCAAAACCCCAGTGGCTTACTTGATTATACTTGATTGTTTAGAGGTAGTCTAAAATTAAAAGCACATGATCCCAAAAACACATGCGCGGCCCCCCTGCAAAGTAAAACACCAAAACCTAACAGTTTCTTCCAGGCCTCTTGAGTTTTAATTCAGTGTCGTGGTTTAAGTGCAGTCAATAACTCAGACCCACACAGCCCTCTTGATCACTCCCCCCTTTCCTCCCTGCCCCCCCAGCTCCCAGAGGGATGGGGAGGAGAATCGAAAGAATGTAACTCCCACGGGTCGAGATAAGAACAGTCCAGTAACTAAGGTATAACACAAATCACTACTGCTACCACCAATAAGAATAATGATAAGGGAAATAACAAGGGAAGAGAATACAGTACCACTTGCCAATACCCAGCCCAACTGAGCAGTGAACTAGCCCTTCTGGGTAACTCTCAGTTTATACCCTGGGCATGACATGCTGTGGTATAGAATACCTCTTTGGCTATTGGGTCAGGTGTCCTGTCTCTGCTTCCTCATGGCTTCCCTTCCTCCCTGGCAGAGCATGAGACTCACAAAGTCCTTGGTCAGAGTAAACATTTGAGCAGTAACTAAAAACATCAGTGTTATCAGCACTCTTCCAGGCCAAAAATAAAAAACACAACACTGCACCAGCTACTAAGAAGGAGAAAAAATGACTGCTACTGCTGAACCCAGGACATTCAGTTTCTAAAACAGTATTCAGTTTCTGCTGAAATATTATTTTAAAATCAGAACTCTCACTACGTGTTTAGTCATGTACAAGACTTCAACAAGAGCTGAAAGAATAGATTATTTCTGTTATAAGTCATTTGAGATATAGTATTAATTAGTTATTAATTCAGGGTTTTTTGTGTATTTAATTCCTTAAGCAGCCTGTAAAAGATGTTTTTGCTTAAATATTATGCATGGATCTGCTGAAGGAGTACTTCAGACTACAGAGAAAGCTTATTTTATATTTATGTGTCTCTTTGGTGAATAAAGAGAATAACAATGAAAGACATTTGTAATACAACAGTTATCCTTGTTTCACTTTAATACATAAGATTCTCAGACAACATGATTTCTAGAGGCAGAAAGAAATACTCAAAAGTAAAAATACATGAAGTGACTATGTACTCAAGAACTATCCAATACCAGCTGAAAACAATTATGCTTATTTTTTAAGCACCTGTTGATTCTAGTGATGCTAACATTGCTCTTGTAGCATCACTTCTAATATATTCAACAAAAATTAAACCAGAAAATTTTATAATATGAAGCCATAACTCATTACAATGACATTAGGTGTTTACTAAGCAACTGAGAATTACAAGATCCAAATACAATCATAGAAGTTAGAAAAGACCTTAAGATCAGCTAGTTCCAAGCCCCTGCTGTGGGCAGGGACACCTTATGCTAAATCATATCACCCAAGGCCTCGACTTGAACACTGCCAGGGATGGAGCATTCACAACCTCCCTGGGCAACCCATTCCAGTGCCTCACCACCCTAACAGGAAAGAATTTCCTCCTTATACCCAATCTAAACTTCCCCTGTTTAAGTTTTAACCCGTTACCCCTTGTCCTATCACTACAGTCTCTAATGAAGAGTCCCTCCCCAGCATCCCTATAGGCCCCCTTCAGATACTGGAAGGCTGCTATGAGGTCTCCACACAGCCTTCTCTTCTACAGGCTGAACAGCCCCAACTTCCTCAGCCTGTCTTCATACAGGAGGTGCTCCAGTCCCCTGATCATCCTCGTGGCCCTTCTCTGGACTTGTTCCAACAGTTCCATGTCCTTTTTATGTTGAGGACACCAGAACTGCACACAATACTCCAGGTGAGGTCTCACAAGAGCAGAGGAGAGGGGCAGGATCACCTCCTTCGACCTGCTGGTCATGCTCCTTTTGATGCAGCCCAGGATACGGTTGGCTTTCTGGGCTGCAAGCACACACTGCCAGCTCATGTTCATTTTCTCATCAACCAACTCCTTCTCCACAGGGCTGCTCTGAATCTCTTCCCTGCCCAACCTGTAGCTGTGCCTGGGATTGCTCCGACCCAGGTGTAGGACCTTGCACTTGGCATGGTTAAACTTCATAAGGTTGGCATCAGCCCACCTCACAAGCGTGTCAAGGTCCCTCTGGATGGCATTCCTTCCCTCCAGCGCATCAACCGAACCACACAGCTTGGTGTCATCGACAAACTTGCTGAGGGTGCACTCAATCCCACTGTCCATGTCAGCGACAAAGATGTTAAACAAGACCGGTCCCAACACCGATCCCTGAGGGACACCACTCGTTACTGGTCTCCAGCCGGATATTGAGCCATTGACCACAACTCTTTGCTTGTGGCCATCCAGTCAGTTCTTTATCCACCGAGTGGTCCATCCATCAAATTGATGTCTCTCCAGTTTAGAGACAAGGATGTCATGTGGGACAGTGTCGAACGCTTAGCACAAGTCCAGGTAGATGACAGCTGCTCTACCCCTGTCCATCAGTTCTGCAGCCCCATGACAGAAGGCCACAAAATTGGTCAGGCAGGATTTCCCCTTAGTGAAGCCATGCTGGCTGTCACCAAGGACCTTGTTGATTTTCATGTGCCTTAGCATGCCATCCAGGAGAATCTGCTCCAAGATTTTGCCAGGCACAGAGGTGAGACTGACTGGTCTGTAATTCCCCGGGTCATCCATTTTCCCCTTCTTGAAAATGGGGGTTATATTTCCCTTCTTCCAGTCATTGGGAACTTCACCTGACTGCCATGATATCTCAAATACGATGGCCAGTGGCTTAGGAACTTCATTTGCCAGCTCCTTCAGGATCCGCAGGTGGATTTCATCAGGTCCCATGGACTTGTGCATGTTCAGGTTCTTAAGATGGTCTCAAACCAGATCCTCTCCTACAGTGGGCGCAAGGTCTTCACTCTCAAAGTCCCTGTGGCTGCCTTCCAAGACTTGGGTGGTTTGGTCAGAGCCTTTGCCAGTGAAGACTTTGGCAAAGAAGTCATTCAGAACCTCAGCCTTCTCCAAATCCTGTGTAGGCAGCTCTCCCGAGAGCTTCCAGAGGGGGCCTACATTCTCCCTAGTCTGTTTTTTATTTGCTATGTACCTGTAGAATCCCTTCCTGTTATCTTTAATACCTCTAGCTAAGTTTAATTCTAACTGGGCCTTAGGTTTCCGAACCTGGTCCCTAGCTTCCCAGACAACATCCCTGTACTCTTCCCATGCCACCTGTCCTTGCTTCCACTTATTATAAGCCTCTTTTTTCAATTGAATTTTCCTCAGGAGCTCCTTATCCATCCAAGGAGGTCTCCTGGCCCTCCTGCTGCACTTCCTTCTGGTTGGGATGCAACACTCCTGAGCTTGTACCAGGTGATCCTTGAATATCAACCAACAGTCTTGGGCCCCTCTGCCCTCTAGGGCTGTATCCCATGGAACCTTCGGAAGCAGGTTCCTGAAGAGGCCAAAGTCTGCTCTTTTGAAGTCCAGGGCAGTGAGCTTGCTGCACACTCTTCTCACTGTCCTGAGAATCTCAAATTTGAGCATCTCATGATCGCTGCATCCAAGGCTGCCCTGGAGCATCACATTTCCAACCAGCCCTTCCCTGTTGGTGAGCACAAGGTCAAGCACGGCACCTCTCCTTGTCGGCTCCTCTATTACTTGCACAAGGAATTTGTCTTCCACACAATCGAGGAACCTCCTGGATTGCTTGTGCCGGGCTGTACCGTCCTTCCAACAGATGTCAGGGTGGTTGAAGTCACCCATGAGAACAAGGACCTGCAAGCGTGAGGCTGTTCCCATCCACCTGTAGAGTGCCTCATCCACAGATTCATCTTGATCAGGCAGTCCATAACAGCCCCCCACAATGATGTCTCCCACAGCTATGTTCCCTTTAACCTTGACCCACAAACTCTCTGTTGACTGCTCTCCTGTCCCCAGACAGAGTTCCATATTGTCTAACCTATCCCTAACATAAAGGGCAACTCCCCCTCCCCACCTTCCAGGCCTGTCTTTTCTAAAGAGCCTGTAACCTTCCATTCCAACACTCCAGTCATAGGAGCCATCCCACCATGTTTCTGTGATGTCTATTACATCATACCCCCGTAGACGTGCACACATCTAAAATAAAGATGAAGAAAAGATAATTTGAAATAACTAAGTGCGGATTGATCAGCACCCTTGGCATCTCATGTTTTTTTTTGCATGGCAATTATTTGTTAAGCAGCAATCAGCAAATATGGATTACTATATTGCTGCATCATTAGTGGCAAAAGAATGCAGAGATTACTTTCGTTATGGTTCTACTCAGTTTTCTCTGTTTTTTGGAAAAAAATAGCAAAATGGAGTTAATCAACACAGTCAATAACTGCAAATCTTTAAAAAACAAAGATTCTGACAACAATCCTCTTCCCCTGAAGCTCTAAGAGTAGCTTCTGTAAATAAGAATAACCAACAGCAATTTCCAATAATTTACTCTCTAGGATTGCTGAAAAATACTATACAGAAATCTGTGATAAAAGACTCATTGATTAAAATGCCAATGAAAAACACATTGTAGGACAATGTGTGCCAGTATAGATTGTAGTTAATTGCCTTCTGTTGCAACCTCTGTACACAGCAGGCCAAATTGTTGTCTTAGTTATGCCCCTGTGTCCTGGGTTCAGCAGTAGCAGTCATTTTTTCTCCTTCTTAGTAGCTGGTGCAGCGCTGTATTTTTGACTTTTGGCCTGGACCAGTGCTGATAACACTGATGTTTTTAGTTACTGCTCAAATGTTTACTCTGACCAAGGACTTTGTGAGTCTCATGCTCTGCCAGGGAGGAAGGGAAGCCATGAGGAAGCAGAGACAGGACACCTGACCCAAACTAGCCAAAGGGGTATTCCATACCATAGCACGTCATGCTCAGGATGAAAACTGGGAGTTACCCAGAAGGGCTAGTTCACTGCTCGGTTGGGCTGGGTATCGGCAGGTGGTATTGTATTCTCTTCCCTTGTTATTTCCCTTATCATTATTCTTATTGGTGGTAGCAGTAGTGATTTGTGTCATACCTTAGTTACTGGACTGTTCTTATCTCGACCCGTGGGAGTTACATTCTTTCGATTCTCCTCCCCATCCCTCTGGGAGCTGTGGGGGTGCAGGGAGGAAAGGGGGGAGTGATCGAGTGGGCTGTGCGGGTCTGAATTCCAGACTGCACTTAAACCACGACACCCTGTAATGTCTGTGAAGTTAGTATGACTTACATGGACATATCACGAAGAATGTTTGGGCCTTAAATAGTCAGAGACACTCTAGCTTCACATATATAAATGAGCTCTTTTTCATCATGAACTTCATATATTTTTCAGCCTTCATTCTAATGAGTAATTTTTAATAGGTCTTTTTTTTTGTGTCTGTTTTTCAGAACTACAGCTATGAGGAAAGAGAACATGACATTTTCCCCTCTACAACCAGACTCGAGATTCTAAATCAAACTTTCTAAACCAAGCCTAGCACATATGTACTCACAGGGAGCCAAAAACCTGGAAGAAGCCAAAGTAGCAAGACTTTTTTTTTTTTCTTAATCTCAAAGGTTTATCCCAGCTCTTAATGGAAAAAGTCAAATTGTATTGCTTATTTTCCACTGAATATATAAGGAATATTACAATTTTAAGAATGATACAGCTCTTTACCTTATATTTACAGCTCCCTGCATCATATATATTTAGAGAATTCTTGGATTGCTAGAAATGAAAGATGAATTTTTACAGATGACATTTCACAAAAATACACATTCTATAATATGTACCATGCTAATACTGAAGATCTCTATCAAAGGAAATATTTAAGACAGCAATCCACATATCCTAAATCACATTTTCTGTTTCATTATCTACCTTCCTATATTAAGGCATGCTTTTTCTCATACTGCTGTATTTTCACAGAACCTTCTAGTTCTTGTCCACTGTTGCTTTCTGGCTAAAGAACATGAAGACTATGCAAGCATATCAGATGATCCAAGAAAATGTTAAATAAGTAAATAAATAAAAGCATCCTCCAGTCTTTTTCACCTTTCTCTTTCACTATGACACGGTATTATCAAATATATTACATGTAAGAAATAAATGAAAGATATTTGGTGAAAAACATCTGGAATGCACATATGGTTTAGGGCAAAGATTTCCCCTTCTCTATCTGTGAGATCATACCTATAGAAATTAAAATTTAAGATATAATGACTGAAATTTACCTCTCAGAATCAAAGCACCAATCTTTCTCCCACTTGGGATGGATTTTTTGCCTTTTTTTTTTTTGAGGGGAAAAAAACGGCACTTTTGTGTTTGTTTGCGAGTTTTGTCTTTATTTTGTTGGGTTTTTTTGGTTGTTTGGTTGTGGTTTTTTGTTTTTTTTTTTTTTTTTTTTTTGAGTTTCTTAGGGGGGATTTTTGGGAGGTTTGTTTTTTTTAACGGGGAAAGAGATTTTTGTTGGTTTTTTTTTGTGTTTTTTTTGTTTTTTTTTTTTGTTTTTAACACATACACACACCCCGACTGCAAACCCAGTCATTTCTGTTTCATTACTCATAGGATACCTGTATGCTGATATTTCTTGTTGCTGCTGTACGCTTGGAATGTCTTCCAGGAAAAACACTGACTTCAACTTCTATGGTAGGAAGAAGAATAATAAATATTTTTATTACTACTCATTACTACCTTCTGAGGTTGTTTATGAATGCATGAATGGAAGAGTGGCGTCAGCTGCAGAGATCAAGCTATGAAACAAAAACGCTGCTGAACCAGCAGAAAATGGAGAAGAGACGGACTACTGCTGTTACTAGCTGTATGGGTGAAGAAAAAATTGACATTCCTCCCAGGCAAATGCAATAAAGATGAACACAATTGTAGGGGAAGGCCATCAAACACATATTTATCATCATTTATAGGCACAATGTAAACACACAATCCTTTGCTAGTATGAATTGTCATAACCCAAATAGTTTAATGTAATAGCAGCAATTTAAATTACTCAGTTCTTTCCCAAAATAGGTGTCACTTAAGTCACTGTTATAGTGGTAATTCTTTACAGAACTTGCAAACAAGACATCCCCACTTGAGGATGAGTGGATATCACAGGGTACAATTAAAATAAAGAGAGGATGGTTCAGCATTGCAGAAAATCTTTTGTAGACTAACAGATGAAGAAAAGTAAACTGTACCCAAGTATTTCAAAATCCACAGTGCTTTGAGTCACAGAATTAGGACTTTGAGCTTAGTTCTTAAGTAAGAAACACCACTGGAGCTAAAAGACTACCCCTTAAAAAAATTATCAGTTTTTGTTATTATATTTTTATAGTCCTCTGTTCAGAGGTAGATTCACAGGTTCTCAAGAAAAGTAATTACTGATTTGAACAGTACTTCCTTTGATGTGGAAAAACAAACCCAAAACAATAAAACCAACCAAACAAAACCTATCAAAACAGACCGTATAGCAGGTGTTGATGGAAAGAAAAAAAAGGAGGGTAAAGACTGTGTCTATCAGTTTTCCATAGTGAAAGGGAATTGATAAAACTGTGTTAAATTTCCATTTCTTTTGGTAAAAAAAATACCAAATCATGATAGATAAATATTTTAATATTGAGAATCAATGATAAGGCCCTACTGTTTTAAGTCAGCTGTACAGTTTAAATGCAGTTTCCACAGACTCCTTCTGCAAAGCAAGCAAACCCAGTAAACCAGTGAACTGAAAACATTAAAGACCACTTCATAAAATCATCAGGATGATACTGTAGATTAGAGATTAGAAACAGATTAGAGAAGAGGTTCAGAGCAGTCCTGTGGAGAAGGATTTAGGGGTGTTGGTCGATGAGAAAATGAACATGAGCCAGCTTCAGCGTGCGCTCGCAGCCCAGAAAGCCAACTGTATCCTGGGCTGCACCAAAAGGAGCGTGACCAGCAGGTCGAAGGAGGTGACCCTGCCCCTCTGCTCTTGTGAGACCTCACCTGGAGTATTGTGTGCAGTTCTGGTGTCCTCAACATAAAAAGGACATGGAACTGTTGGAACAAGTCCAGAGAAGGGCCACGAGTTTGATCAGGGGACTGGAGCACCTCCTGTATGAATACAGGCTGAGAAAGTTGGGGCTGTTCAGCCTGTAGAAGAGAAGGCTGCGTGGAGACCTCATAGCAGCCTTCCAGTATCTGAAGGGGGCTTATAAGGATGCTGGGGAGGGACTCTTCATAAGGGATTGTAGTGATAGGACAAGGGGTAACGGGTTCAAACTTAAACAGGGGAAGTTTAGATTAGATATAAGGAAGACATTCTTCACTGTGATGGCAGTGAGGCACAGGAAGGGGTTGCCCAGGGAAGTTGTGAATACTCCGTCCCTGGCAGTGTTCAAGACCGGGTTGTACAGAGCCTTGGGTGGCATGGTTTAGTGTGAGGTGTCCCTGCCCATGGCAGGGGGGTTGAAACTGGATGATCTTGAGGTCCTTTCCAACCCTAACTATTCTATGATACACAGAGTATGGAAAGATGTATTAGAAACCAGTTTCATTATTGTTTAAAAAATTCTGAGGTTAGTGACATTGGGGAATGTTCAAGAAATGCACAAGTACAACATCTGCCTAGAGGTCCTGGACAGCATCTCCTATAGCTCTGGTGCTGTTCAAATAGTGGGAACAGAAGAGGCATCTGCACTGCTAATACACGAAAAGCAAATAGGATCTCTCTCAACAGCAACATTTTACCTTGATGTTAGGATAATTTAAACTGTTAGTTGTTTCTACTAGCATTATAAAAAAAACTGAAAGGAAAAAAAAAATTCTAAAAAAATAGAAGCGTGACCTCTGTTAGACAGAGCATGTTTAAGGAGACAAAACAAACCCACCACAACACCTATTTGCTGTCAAATTGCTTTGTAACTGCTTTTTGATAGAAACTAGTCATCTGACTTTCCATAGCAGTGTGTTTTCCCCATGAAAATATCAGAAATACCATATTTTACAGACTTTGGAGGTAAAACCATGTGCATGAGTAGGTGGCTCTAAATCACACAGTTACAGAAAATAATGTAGGAAGTAGCATTTGGGCTGTTGGTATTCTGTGTCTTTCTAAAACACAACCATTTAGGAAATTTCATAAACCATAAATAACCTTGTTGCGTGACTTGAGAGAGTGGACTCATCCACATTCACACCATTTCCAATGCAAAATAAACACCCAGCCATGCCACTTCACCCTGAAATCTTCACAAAATCCCTTTTAGCCAAGTAATTTATTACAAAAAACTATAGTCTACAAGGTTTTCCAGCAGTCTTGCAGAAGACTGCCACATATGAATTACAACAAAATCTACACACATATTTTCTCATCTGAGCAATAATCAAAAGGTGTCTTTACACTTTCAGTGACGGAAAGACAAAGATAAATATAAAGCTGGATGTCTGACAGCTGGTATTAAAAACAAGGCCGAGTACTATCCAGCAAAAATGGCAGTCGTACAGAGATTTAAAATCTTAGCTTACTTCTGATTATTCATGTTTTCACAAGAAGATTGGGCACCCACTATTTCTATATTTCTTCTTTTTTTTTTTTTTTTATGGTAAGGGAAAGCTTTACCTGAATATTTACTGTCATATATTTTCCAAAACAACAGAAATAAAAATGCAAAAAGCTAAAGAAAGACATTCATTAGCCTTCTGACCACAGACAGAAGAAAAATTATCTCTATTCATTGTTGCTGTTGTAGGATAATAACAGTGAGGAGATATTCAAGAGGTCTATAATGTGAGAGGAGGTAGAGACTGATGTCATCTCTATATCCTCAAATACACACCAACACAGCTAAGGCGTGTTAGATACAATTTATCATCTAAATGAATATTTGCAATCATATCAGACATCAACATAACCACACACAAAAAGAATACAAGCATCTCTTCCAGGTTGGATGTTCTTTTTAACTGCCTTTAAAATTCTAGGAACAGTAAGTTCAGTTATTAATCACTTAGAAGAAAAATATCATGTACACAAACATGTACCACCAGTGCTGCAACTAGATCTCTATGCCTCTGCTCAGGTACACTGCTGTACTTCTAATTGCATCATCACTGTCTTGCTCTTCACTCCACACCGATTCAGCAGTCACTGCCTACAGCTTTGTTACCTTTAAGATCTTAGTCTCCCATCCTCACAGTTTCACTGAAGTTGAACTCTAGATCACAGTCTCTTTATTCATTGCCATTATTGTTCTGCTGTTAAAAAAAAAAAAAAAAAGAAGTTAAAGCTGAGGGTTCAATTACAGAGGGCAGTTGCATTGCCCTAGGGGGTGGAGAAACCTACAAACTGTGAACGAGTTACAATATACCTCCTATATCTCTTCTTCCACACAGTCATTGATGTATTCCCCCTACACCACCCCTATACTTAATTATATACTAAGGCATGTATAATTAATTAATTATACATGCTCTGATACAGCTGCCCTGGCTGTAACACTGGGAGGGGAAAAGCTGAGCCTACCACCTGTGCAGGAGGGGAAATAATAGCTCTATTGAGGCTGCCTTTCCCTTCCTTGTTGTACTGTTCTTAGATTATTACTTTAAAAAGAAAAAAAGAGAAAAAGAGAGTAAGTACTTCTTCCAATTGTTGTTCTTTACTTCCCTGGCTTTCAGATCAGACTTTTTGTTTGGAAATCATGTGTAGATGTAAAACTAGTTTGTCTGCCAGGATATACATTTTCTCTCAAGGGGATGTCTGACAATCTGTTAACACAGTGTATAATGGAGAGGGTAGGGGGCAGATCACAGGCCAGATTGTTAGCTGGTATAAAAGAGGTGTTAATACCATTGACTTTAATAGGGCTACGTCAATATCCACCAGCTTAAGATTCTCTGTATCACAGCCCATAGACCACTTGCGGCTTGCAAAGCCTTTGTATTCACTCCACAAAGGGACTTTTTAATTGTGGCTATACTTGACAGAATCATAAAAATGTACTATTATCAGTTTACCCAGTGATTCTCTAGCATTCCTAAGGATTAACCTCTCTCCTTGGAAGCACACAGAGTTGTGAGAAAACCGTCTCAGCTAAATCCATGTTGAATTCAAAGGTGACTATTGGAAACTTTCATTAAACCATTTATATTGTGATAACTCATTCTGAACTCATGCTGTCTCAAATTATTAGCAAGGAAATTCAGTTGTGAAGATCCCACCTCTGAGTAAATTAGGAAAATGTGTTGGGGAGGGGGGGGTTAAGAAACTTTATATATATAATATAGCTCCTTATAATTTTAAGACAAAAAAAAGCAGCACAGTTAATCTGAATTTTGTAATGCTCTTCTGAGGCTGATACCTGTTGAGCATTTCGGCATGAACAAAACTGTTATTTCTGTGGAATGGGGATTTCCACTCTCTAGAAATTAGTAAAGAAAAAAACAACACCCTGAATGTCTTTATGCAATTAGGATTGCAACGGCTTCTCTGGAATTTGAATGCATGCCATGTTTGCTTATTCTTCCTGAAGCATAGTATTCTCAATAGTAAGGACTTAAAAGACATAGTACAGGTCTCCCAACACAAGTCATTCCTACCCTCCCTATTATAATTCTAAATAATAGAAAAATTAATGAATGCCTGGGGGTTTTATAAGTAGTAGTGAGATTTTGTGGTTAAAAACCTTCAGTTCTTTAAGCTTTACCCTATGTGCCCACACCCTGGAGAAGGAAAAACCTTTTTCTTCTCCAAATAAAAGCTGTATCTGGATATGAAAAGCTTAGAGGACGGCTCAGCTGCTGAGAAAATAACAAATATTGTGCAAGTTGGTAACATCAAAGTTGTTTAACTTTTGCTCAAGAGGTGGGTCCACTTTGGCAGTTGGTGAAATGATCCCCAGATATCCGTCACTCCCATTGCTGTTGAGATATTAAACTAATAAGTACAAAATTCTGTCTCCAAAACATACATATGTCAGAAGCTGACATCAGTGGAGAACAGATAATCTTCTAAAGGCAGAATGAGTCAACAATTTTGTTTTAACTCTCTTGAAGTTGCACAGATTTCTTGGGTAGTATGGCAAAAATGTCAGAATGGCAGAGCTTAACTATTATTAACAACAATGTTATCCTAACATAGTAACTTTCAAAAATAATGTAAGTTTATCACAAAACTGCTGAAGTTTCCTGAAATTATATTTTTATCAAAGATTTTTTTGAAATGTCTAGTGTTAACCAAATTTGCTTTAGAGACTAAGTTTCAATTTTCCTTTCTTTTCTTTTTTTTATCACTAGGGCTCTGCTGATGGAGATATTCTTATTTTAAAGTTACTAATGTGTAATACACCAGAGAAAAGAAAATATATTTGTTTCTTTTTATTATGTGGATATTGTAAAGTATTAATATACATGTTTGTATTTCTTTAAGAAAATGTTCCCACTCTTTAAATTCAAAGTGAAAATTTAACAGAATAACCCTAAATTGTTTTCCTATTGTTCTTTCTTTGTTTGTCACAAATATTGAATTCAATTGAGCCACTTTAAGATGCTGGTCAGTAAATTTTAGTGCTTTTAAAAATATTTGGGTCTTAAAAAAAAACCGAACTGGCTGTAAACTCCAATGTTAGCATAATATTTCCTCAACTCTTGCTGCTTAATATAAAACTTTTTTTTTCCAGATTCATTTTGTATTCAATTCCTCTTCTACCAGCAGAAAACATTCACTAATATAGTATTTCAAAAAAGAAATTAAAATTAGTTAAACAGAAGAATACATTTACACATTAACACATAAATGTTTTCAAGAGAGCTACTAGTATGTCATAGGCTGTACTAAACACTAGAAATTTTTACTGCAAATAGTAGCACAGCAATATTTTATTCTGATTCTATTCAGGCTGTTCAAATAATTAGATACCTAAAACATCTGATTTTTATCTTTCAAGGAAAGTCACAAGGTCATATGGGAAGTCAGGACGAAATAAGAGGATTTATCTGGTGGCCTTTTTGTAGCTGAACACCTCAAAACGTTAGTTTTGGAATCCTGCATTTATTTCCAGTCATTTTTTTCTGCTCTGTACAATTCTAAAATAGTAATTTTCTTACACAAAAGTTATTTCTGGATGGCTTATAGAGTATGTGCTCTTTGTAAATGGTACAGTCCCCATGTCCCTGTAATGGTATCAGTTCTGTGGCATCTCTGCCCAGCCCATTGTCATCCACTGCCTGTCTTTACATGGGAATTTTGAGAGGGACTTGAGAGAGCAGAATTAAGACATTCTTTGTATTAATGATTGTTCTTTTACTTAAGTCTTTTAAGACAATGAACAATATCACTTATTTTCAAATTTGCTTTAATTACCTCTCTATCAGATTCTGATAAACCTAAGATTATGGTCAATGGCAACAGAGTTCAGTAAGGACATACACAATCAGAAGTGGGACGGCTAAACAGAAACCAGCAAAATCAAAACTCATTCAGATAGATGGCTCCTGCCTGTGTCCAACTGGCTGGGTCGTCTGCTTCCATGAATCGCTTTGAAGATGAGGGGATCCTGAGAACTTGTGAGAGAGCTAAAGTCCTGCCTCAGAATTCGAAAGAGTGATGGTAAATCAGCCTAGTGTAAATAACTTTCAAACCAAAACATTACTGAGGTTCAAGAGATGCATTATATCCCACCATTTATGAACCTCACATTTTTTTTTCTGATGGAGACTGATAGATAAAAAAGGTAAGGAATCTTCTTGTAAGATTTCCTGCCTACTTATACAGATCCCTAGGTTTGGTTAACTCACCCTGAAATAGAGTGAACTCAGCACAGACTGCAGGAGTCAAGGCAGTCACCAGGTTCTGCTTAGCAGAAATTCCACACTTAAGCCATGCTGTCAATTAGACAGGTCTCACTGTAATGTTGTGTCTCCTGTCAAACATTTCTGAATGGACCCTTGCTCCATTTGATGCTTTCCTGATGGAGCTTTATCACGGTTCTGATGTATGGTAACCTGATAAACCTTCACTTAGCACCCTTCTATCACTATTTAACCTTAACATGTGTCTAGAGACTAGCATCAAAATGGCAGGGTTTTGTGGTGATGGAATGCTCACCAGTGGTTAGAACAGATTAACAAAATGTTTTTGTTACAGAATAGAGTCTGCATCCCAGTCTTGCTAAATCCTTGCTAACAGGAGTTTCATCATCTAAAAGGCTAGCTATTAATACACGATAAGGTTCCTAAGAGCATGAAAGTCCCTAAACAAACCAGTTCTGTGAGAAAGGAATGTGTAAGGTGTCAGAATTATTGTCAGAGAATATTTTAACTGAGCTATCTATATTTATCTGAGAAGAGTAAGAAAATGCCTTATTAGAATCACTCTTGAGAAATTCAATTCAGCTATTTTATGGAGGAAACAAAAATCAATGTATGTTTATTGATACTACTATATAAAAAAAAAAAGTAACCCCCCCCCCCCCCAAAAAAAAACCAACAAACAAAACCGTTAACACTTAAGAGATGCAAAAGTATATATATATATAAACAAAAAATACTGGAAATCTCTGTGGTTGTTCAGAAAATATTGAGATCAATAATTTAAATTATTAGAAAGTTATTAATCATCAGTCGCTAGTACAGGATCAAATGTAAAGACTAAGAAGATGTTTCAGAGGCAACTAACTCTTTTGTCTTTCCTTTTCCATTCAAAAGTACAAAATGATATTCAAGAAATTAAGTAACTAATTAATTCTCTGCTGATATTAACTCTTTATATGTGACATATAAACTGTTTACATGTGACAATTGACTGTTTATATGTAACATAAATACTGTATATATATACATATATATAAAAGAATATCTGTTTACTGTGCTTATTCTGTGTGCCCTCCCCCCCCCCCCCCCCCCCCCCCAGGGGAGCAGGTGTTTAAAGCTTTTTGCTGCTCCAGGTACCTTCTGTACTGCTGCATATACAGCTAGGCTATGTCATCCTAACATGACCTGCGGTGACTAATGCTTTATTTTACACATCATCTGGATTTCACTAAGTCCAGTAAGCATCTGTTGTTCACAATTAAAAATGTAACACTCGATCCTTTACTGAATGCAAAGTAGATTGATCTTTGTTTACAGGGAGCCATATTACAGTCAGTGGGGATAAGGAAGGACACAAGACTTTTCCTATGTAAATCTTCAGTAATAGAAACTGTCTTCTGTTTCCAGAGCACATGGATTATAGGCAATATAAATAACATTTCAATTGTACTTTTGTACCCCTACTAATTTAGGCTACTGCTAATAAAGGATTGTGTAATTTTCTGGAGCTAAGGAGATGCATTAAAGGCGACAAAAAAGCATGTAACAATCTAAGAACTTTCCATGGTATTTCCATGGCTTTTGAATTTATAATGTTAAATAAACAAAACACTATATGCTTACTTTACGTAGTATATACTTTATGCTGAGTATAAATAACACACACATGCCCACATGTATGCTTATACGTGCATTTGTATAACAATTACATAGGAAATTAATTATTAATTTTATCATAAATA